CACACACACACACACACACACACACACACACACACAATCCCCGTCCTTGCTGAATTAACATCCTGATGGGGATACTCAGGCAGTAGGATAAATAACTGAACTCTGTGGTGTGTCCCAGGACAACAAATGTCATGCAATGATGGAGAAATGGAGTGTGAAATCATAAATTGAATGACCTGGGAAGTTCTCACCAAGTCTATATTTGAATACTCGCAGGAAGTGAGAAACAAGGTAGATATAACAGATACAAAACTCATTTCAAAAGAAAGAAATGAGTGAAAGTCCTGGAGGTGGGAGTGTGCCTGTCTCAGTGTGGCTGGAGGGAGATGACTTAGGGGCCAGAAGTAGGAGAGAAGTCAGAGACCTGGTGGGAGGTTGAAGGTCCAGATAAGAACACTGACTGGTTAGCTTGAGTAAGAAAGGGAAGCCATGGAGGGTTTGGGAAAGTAGATGAAGCACCTAATTTTCACAGGATTTCTTTGGCTATTGTTAAGAATAAACTGAATAGGAGGAATGGCAGAAGTGAGAGAGCCGTTAGGAGACTGTTCCAATAAAACGAGAAAGAGACCAGCTGGGACCATGGTGGTAGCAGCAGAAGTGATAAGAAGTGGATGCATTCTGGCTGTGTTGAAGGTGGAGTTGACTAAATTTTCTAACTGAATACAAGTGCTTTTGCTTCCTTCCCATGCCACTGGCAAAGAACAATTCCTGCTACAATCTCCTGATCAAGGGTCAGAAACACAGTTTTATTCTATGTTTTATCCCACAGATGCCAGAAACCTCCTCAGAAACCAAGAACTAAACCCACACCAGACAAGGATATGGTGTCTAGCATCGTCCAGGTGGCCCGGAGCAAGGGCTTTAAATATTAATACAAATATTTGCCTAGGGTTTGTAACTGTACATCCTGAATGTTATGACAACCACCTAACAGCAAGGCACATATAGGAATTGTCAAAGCAAAACTGTCAAGCATTTAAAGTCCTCCAGAGCCAAGATAGCACCTCTGTCAGCAGACCCAACAAATGAGGTCATTTATACCCAAGGAAATAATGAAGCAACTGATGACAAATAAGAATTTTCAACAAACATATTTAAAATTCACAGAAATATTAGAGAAACTGGAAAGAGCAGACCAATAATAAAAAGAAAACCAATTAGTCACTAAAACAGAGACCCTGTGCCTAATAAAAGAAAAAGTAGGCCCAAATCTTCACCATGTCAGCTAAGGAACTGACTTCCTTAACAAGACTCCTAAAGCACAAGAAGTAAAATCAAGAATCAATAAATGCGATGCATTCAAATTAAAAAGCTTCTTCTCAGCAAAGGAAACAATCAATAATATGATTGTTTATAGGAGAGAGCCTAAAGAATGGGAGAAAATCTTTACTACCTGCACTTCAGATAGGTATATAAATAACTCAAAAGACTCAACCCCCCCCCAAAAAAAAAACACCCAATCAATAAATGGGCTAAAGAACTGAACAGATACTTTTCAGAAGAAGAAATACAGTTAATCAACAAATATATGAAAAATGTTCAACATCTCTATCAATTAGAGAAATGCAAATCAAAACTACACTGAGATTTCCTCTCACTCCAGTTAGAATGGCTATTATCAAGAATACAAGCAACAATAAATGTTGGCAAAGACGTGGGGGAAAATGTTCACTTATACATTGTTAGTGGGACTGCAAATTGGTGTAACCATTCTGGAAAGCAGTATAGAGATTCCTCAGAAAACTTAGAATGGAACTACATTTGATCCAGCTATCCCACTCCTCAGTTTACACACAAAGAACTTAAAATCAGCATACTACAGTGATACATCCACCTCAATGGTTATAGCAGCTCAATTCACAATAGCCAAACTATGAATGCCCTGCAGTAGATGAATGGATAAAGAAACTGTGGTATATATACACAATGGAATATTACTCAACCTTAAAGAAGAATAAAATTATGGCATTTACAGGTAAATAGATGGAGTTGGAGAATATCATGCTAAGCAAAGTCAGCCAATCCCCCAAAACCAAAGGCCAAATTGTTTTCTCTGATATGCAGATGCTAATTCACAAATACGGGGAATGGGGGGGTTGGAAAGAATAGAGGTCCTTTAGATTAGGCAAAGGGGAGAGAAGAAAGGGGAGGGTGTCTGGGAGTGGAAAGAATAGTAGAATGAATCGAACATTAATACCCTATGTGCATATATGACCGGTGTGATCCTAAATAAAGTACAACCAGAAGAATAAGTTACACTCCACTTATGTACGATGTGTCAAAATGCATTCTACTGTCATGTATAACCGATTAGAAAAAATTTTTTAAATAGAGAAAACATTGTATTTTATATTAATTTCACTAAAATAAAATATAATGTAATATATTATATAAATTCTTTTTTAGTCTTTCCTCTTACCACATCTGTAAATTCTAGAGGTCTATATCTTATGAAATTTTTTATCTTTCCAAATGTTGCATGTAATAAACACTTTGCAAATATCCAAATTAAATTGAAGATATGTTCATATATTATTTGAAGTAGAATGTATTATTGTTTCAATTAATATATATGTAAACATTTTCTGACATTGTCAAAGAAACTTTATAGTAATTTTTTATTCTGTCTGTGCAAAATGTAATTGAAACAGTAATGACTTGTAAAAGCCAAATTATTACTTATGCTAATAAAAAACAATAGTATTTTAAAAATACACAATATATAGTAATAAAATATATGATGCATAAAAATAATATATATCATACATCTTTATATATAATTATATATTATACATTTGTATATGTAAAATTTATTATGTATAAAATAAGTGTATATGTATAGAATTATTATAAATAATTATTAATTATTATAAATAATTGTTTATAATTGTTATTAAAATATTATGGTAAAATGTATAATATAGAAAATAATGTATTTTATACATTTTTAACTCAATGAAGGGAATATAAATAAGTAAACTGGTCCATCTAATTCTATATTACTTCACTTGAAAATACAACTGAGAACATCACCTGAAAAATAGGACAGAGAGGGGCTGGGGTTGTGACTCAGACCCAGAGCACTTGCCTTGCACACGTGAGGCACTTGATCCTCAGCACCACATAAAAATAAAGGTTTAAAAAAAATAGCACAGAGAATAAAGAAAATATTTTTAAAATAAGTTTAGAAATAAAGAACCAACTCAGAAACTCAAATATACATTTAGTAGGAGTGCTGAGTTAGGAAAAAAAGGAAATGTTAAAGAATGCTATACTAGAAGATAATGGCTAAGAATTTTCCAGAAAGTCATGATTCCTACACAAAGAGTAAAAATGCAGAACATTACAAAAGAAGATTCTGAAAAGCTACAACAGAGAATGACAACCAGACTGACTCAGACTTCTCATGAGGACAACTGCCAGAAGAAAATAGAGCAACATCATTAAAGTGCAGAGGGAAAATAACTACGAACCAGCATTCAAGAGTGACAACATACTAAGAACTTTTATAAGCAATATGAAGACTAAGTGTATTAAAAAGAGAACCTTGCCAAAAGAACCATTACAAGACACACATTAATAAGAAGAAAAGTGAACCCTGGGGAAAGAGCAGGGATATAATAAACAATGGTGAGAAAAGACATTGATTAAAACATGTGGCATTTCTAAATGCACATTGGCCATAAAATATTTTTTAAAGTTACACACTTGAAAGCAAATTGGAATAAAAGTTCTAGACAAGAAAAATACAGGTTTGGAAGAAGGTGACGTTTGGAAAAAATTCAAAGCATGCTAAGGAAATGTGATCACTTCAAAAGAAAACAGAAAAAGAAGAAGAAGAAAGTTAAATGTGTGGCAAATAAAAATAGGTCTAAATATACTAGTATACAACTGAAAATTCAAGTCTGTATTGAGTTTTTAAAAATCCAAATTTTTTTACAAGAATAACACATAAAATAATAAAACACACATTAACAAAGATGAAAAAGAATGGCATAAAAACGGTATTCTAGATAAATACTAACCAAATGTGCATTGTTAATTAGAAAAGAATTTAAGGCAATAGGTTCAATGTGAGCAATCTGTATACAATCTCTCATTACTGCTGCTCAGAGGACAATTTGGTACAAACTTCTTGAGAATAATGGCAACCTGTGTCAAAGGCATGCAAAATGGGCTTGCCCTTCTCCCTCAGATTTAACTTTAAAGTTTCTATCCTATGGAATACTCAGATGTGTGCAAGGGATGATGTATAATTATAACTGTCACATTATTTATAATATTTAAAAAACTAGAAATACATCTAAATATCCAGCAGGAGATTGATTACACAAAAGGTTAATCTTTTATTAGGATGATAAACAATCATTTGTTAATGTTATAAAATATATAAAGCCACAGGGAAGACTTTACCACTTACTGTTAAGTATAACAAAGTTTCATATAATATGATCTCAATTTTATTTAAAATGTATATGTTTCATATATATATATATATATATATATACATACACATACACACACACACACACACACACATACACACACATATATATAGTATGCATTGAAATGAAGGATATACACTAAAATGTTAACAATTTTCCTTGATGTAGAGGGATTAGGAGTGATATTTTGTGTAAATTTTGCTTTTCTCATCTTCTCAAAATTTTTGTGATAAACATGCATTATTTTAGCAATTTTTAGTTAACTTCTACAGGAACAACTCCAAACTTACTTTTGTAGTCTTCACCACATGTATTATTCCCCTAGTGTCAGTTTTCCTACAAAACTATTAGTATTATAAAAGTGGCTTTATATATCTTTTGGTGTGTATTTTCAGTACATAGAATAGTACTTAGCACACAGTAGTGCTTTATGTTTGTTGGATTGAACTAAATTCCCACTAGACATTTAATTCTCAATTATCTTTCATAACATGAAATTATTTTTTTAAATGCCTAGAGTTTTGAATGTGACTTTAGGATCCCACAATGTACATAAATTGCACTTATGATAGCTGATAAGTTATAATACATTAATTAATTGAAAAATGATAACAATGCAAGGTACATAGGTGCTTAATAAATACTTGAGTATAGTTGACTAATTTGAGGTCTTGAAAAGTAGCCCACTTGAAGAGAAAAGGATAAAATAGACATCTGTTGACATAATACCACAGGAAGAAGACAAAGCCATGATAAATTGTAATATATTCATATGTTCAAAAAATGGATACTGAGAACTAAAGGTGTTTGACAAACTTACTTTATTTTTGGCAAAAATAAGAAACTGTCAGATCAGAATATCTAAGCATTCAGAAAGCAGCAAGGGAAGTTTATTGTAAAGCTGGAAAATAGCTTCCCAGATCCATAAGGAAAGCCACATGTTCCCTCCTCCATGCTACTTTGTTTCTGCCTCTATCACAAGATTTTTCCCACTAAACTGTCATCTGTCATTCTAGGTATGTCTGGCTTTCCCACTAGATTGTGACCCTTGGTCATGTCTATTATCCTCAGCACCTAACACACAGAATGTTCTCACTAATAGTGGATAAAAGAATAAATGAGCAATTACTAAAATTCCTTGCACCAAGAAATACCTCGAAATTACATTAACTTAAAAGCCACAGAAAAATAATGTTGCCAGGGGCGGTGGCAACTGCTGCTGTAATCCCAGCAGGCTGAGGCAGGAGGATTGCAAATTCAAAGCCAGTCTCAGCAATTTAGCAAGGCTAAATTGTCTCAAAATTTTTAAGAAGTGGAAGGAGGACTGCGGATGTGACTCCGTAGTTAAGTGCCCCTGGTTTCAATCCCCAGTACCAAAAAACAAAAATATCAGTGCATTACCTTCTAGAGATTACATTCGTCCCACCATTCCCACCGTGGTCAAACTGGTCTGGCAAGCTGGTTGATTTAGTTGGGAACACAATTTGTTTATCTCGAATTTTCTTGGGTGCCAAGGTTTCTGTAGAATAAAAAGCAAATGGAAGTGAGTTTTCTTTTTACCAAGACAAATTTCCATTAGATATCTATTCTGTTATCATTAAAAATGATTGTCCCTTGCCCTGTTGTGGTATTTTTTAAAAATGCTTTTACTGCATATATGCAAAAAGAGTACTGCTAGGCATTTAAAGACTACAAAGAGGCTAGTCTTTGCTCTCAAATATCACAATAGCTAACAGTTGTAGAGAAAAGTAATATATAAGCAAAGAAAGTGACAGCTTCTTTACTACACACTGACAGTGATGAACCCCTTACATCATTGTGTAAACAGCAATTTAGTTTAAGGTTCTGATATGTTCAGAGAAGAGAGAAGCCACTTCAGAATCCGTGATAAGAGTAGTTTTTATATAGGAAGTGATATGTGACTGTGAAGAGGGTGCCAAAAGGTGACAAGGACTGAGATGAGCTTAAGAAAAGGAAAGGCATTCCAGCTGGGAGGAAAAGAATGAACAGGATACATTTAGGGAAGGACAAGGCATACTAGGAGAACATACATAGGCAATTCTGCCCAAAGAAGTGTATCGAGGGAACAGAGGGGTGGGGTAGGAAAATGAAACCACAAATATCAGGCCAAAAGTTTACATGTGATTCTGTAAGCCACACTTTGAAAATTGATACCCACAAGCCAATGTTTACCCATTCATATGTTTTGTTGGACCCAATCAGGCATTTTTGTTTCAATATCAATTAGTTCAGCAATTTTGTATCAAAGTCATAATGTTTGCTTTTCTTGAAAAATCAGAAGATTTGATACTACTTGAACCACATTTTTACAAAGTACTAATACAGTCCACAGGGCATGGTCTCTAGGACCCTTTCGAAATGTCTTTAAAGTCCTCAGATTGTCTTCAAAAGCTTCAACCAAAACAACTTTTTACAACAAATTAAAGGCATACACAGATAGGAGAATCCAGCTATCTTCTACCAACATTAAAGAGATAAAACTGCCATTTTTTTCCCCATAAAAAGTGTTATTTAAGCTAATGTGTTTCCCTGCCTTCTTCTATACAGCCCACTTCATGCATTTGTTACCTGCCTTGTCCCTGCAGGCATCTGAGTTTTTATGCCTACAGAGATACAAAGAGATAATAGTCTAGAAGTCTGAGAGTCATGGGATCTAAGACACATAAAGTGGTTAAAGGGTGAGATACAGGATTCCAGAAATAGATGTTTGTTAGAGAAAAGAACACATTGATTATTCATGAATCTACCTATTTACATTGAGCATATGAGTTGCTAAGAAATATGGCTGGGCACACGAGCAGTAAAGAGTGACAGATTATTCCCACAAATCATGGCCTACCTTTGACATCTCCTTTTTCTGGCTGGTCTTTCAACTTGCTCTTTCTTTGTCTATTCTCTCTACCTTCTTCTGCAATGGTCTCCATAGGTGGTTTGTTCTCCGTCTCTTTGTGCTCAATCCTAGGAAAAAGTCAAGATGCTCGTCCATTACACTGGACCCTGGACTCTCAAACACTCGCTTGCTGAATCTGAAAAGAGCCCTCTTCCTCCTTCAAGTTCTGATTTGCTGAATACATGTCATGGACTCACTCTCTTTGAGATTCATTCTGAGAGCCAACCAAGACCTGGACCTACTATACTGGGGGCTCAAAACAGCTTGTATATAAAGATATTTTTTTGAAAGCCTCAGGTTAAGTTTTTGGTTTTGGTTTTAGTTTGAATTTGTCTATGTCCTTTTTAGTTCTGTAACTAGATATTATGAGGGTGATAGAGTTGTTGGCGGTTGTTGGATAACTAGAAGGCAAGAAATCGCAGCAGGTAGACAGCATGCCTAATGCGAAGGACCTGAAAAGGCACACTGAGAGGGGAGGTGGTGTTCAGTTTGTGGTGTAGTTGTAGGTTCTCTGGTCTCAAAGACCAAAGAATTAGGACTGGACTAGAATTAGGGCTACAGTGGTACTCTAAGTAAATTCAAGGGCCAAACTTCACATACATAAATACCGACAAGCATTTTGAGTGTTTGAGTTCTCATGTCCACTTTTAGACTCTCAAACTGGCAAGCACCTCCATCTCTGTTTTTTGTTTGTTTTTACCCTCTGGAATTATTTTCCTTCTGGAGTGTATAAGCCAAAAATATGGCAAAGCCAGATTTTCCTTCCAAATGAATAAAAATAAAATGATTTTGAATTCATGGACTTATTTCTATTTATTTCTAGCATGGTTATTCATTACTTGGGTGGCCATTTCACCTACAAGATGAGAGAGCTAGATTGACTACTCTCTAAGGCTTATTCTGGCCATCATTACAGTTCTTAAGAGGCATGTGTCAACAGCAGAATAAAATAGACATTATTATTGCTGTATGTATATACGTGACTACATGACCAATGTGATTCTGCAATCTGGACACTCAGAAAAATGAGAAATTATACCCCATCTGATTCAAATGTATGCTATGTCAAGATCATTGTACTGTCATGTGTAACTAATTAAAACAAATAAAAAAAGAGGTATGTGTCAAACTGAGGTTGTGGCTCAGTGGCAGAGCACTTGCCTTGCACATGTGGAGCACTGGATTCAATCCTTAGTACCAGGTAAAAATAGACAAAATAAAGATATTGTGTCCATGTATAATTTTTTTTAAAAAATTAACGAGATATGTGTCACAAGGCTCTTCCAGGATGGGGTTGTTCCAAACCAACAAATCAAGAAGATGTCACAGACTCCAAATCTATGAGAAAACACTAACTCTGGAAAGCTGGCTGTTATTACCCACCAGAAATGCATAGTGATTAATGTTATAGCAATTACGATTAAGAAAATAATTAAGAGCACACAATAAATGGGTGATAATCACACTGAAAAATAAAACCAAAGCCTCCTGACTCCCATTCTAGTGTTCTGAGTAGTGCACCATGTTGATTCTGCTGTTTAGACATTTTTTTAACCAAATCAATTGCGTATCTCTATAAAATGGAGGAAATTATAACAGTTGCAGTGAAGAGTAAATTCGAGAATATTGAGAAAGTGCTTTAACAGTAAATGGCATCCAGTAGGTGCTCTATAGTAACTGTTATTACTACTATCATTATTATTATCATCATCACTATTATAAACATTATCAGCAGCAGACTTCAGCAACACCCTCCATACCCCCCTTGGATAAAGCTGTTCCCTATTCTACCTTATCTTTCAATCTGTTTAGTGGTAAGAAGAAGAGCTCAGATGGGAAATGGGCTAGGATGAGGGAAGAGAAAAGCAAAGGAAGAGGAAGTAGCAGAAATAGAGGGAAACCCAGAAGGGTCTAAGGTTTGTAGGGTCAGAATCTCCAGGAATTTGAAAGTAGTTTATAAAATAAATATTCTAAAGACCACTGTTAACTACAAAAGCGTATACAAGAAACTCTTTGCTGATTCTCTTGGGAATTTATTGTACTTATTTTAGTATGCTACTTTCCTTATTTTTTAAAAAACCTCTTTATGGGAATTCCCTTCAAAACTTTTTGTAGGCTATAGCATTTATTCAAAAATAATAATTGTATGTTATTCTGTAATATGTGCATATATATACATATATTTGCATTAAAAGGAGCATGAGCTGTATAGGTTGAAAAATGCTGCCCGATCAGATCAACAGATGAGCAAGGAGAGTTGGTACCTAGAGAAACCCTCAGAGCAAAGTACTCACCTTGGAAACAAAAGGACACTACCAGGCCGCCTCTTCAAGGCCTCTCTGCTTGACAACACCGAGTCCACAGTGTTGGGCCTCTGCAGAACAGAGAGAAAGTTACACCTGAGCTCTCAAAGATGAGGTACCATGATACTCTTTGGTTGTTTTGTTTGCCATTTTAAAGTCCAGAGCTCAAAATCTGGAATAATTTTATTCTTCGGAGTAGTCACCCAGGGTTATTCCAATGATGCTGTGTTTTCTCAAAACATCTCCTCTTTGGAAATTGCTTTGACAACTGACACCTTCCTTTAGATATCCTTGAAGGGAGACTAGACTTCCTAAATTTATCGAGGAATTTTTGAGCCAGCTGGCTAATTCTACCCTTGATCCAAAAAAATCTAAAATTATACAGTTTAAAAAAGGGTTTTGGAGTCAAGTGGGCTTATGTTCAAATCCCAGGGCTAACTGCTGTGTGACCTTGGACACTAGGTTTGTGGGGATAATTATAGGATCGAATTCATAGGACTTTCATGAAGTGCTCTATGTGAGTGTATAATAAGCACTCAACAAGCAGCAGTTGTAATTATTACGCTGTAAAATAACCACTTTATTACATCATTAGGATAGAATGATTCATGATTTTTTTTTTCAGTACTTGATCAGTACTTGGGATCAAACTTAGGGCATCACTCATGCCAGGCGAGTGCTTTACTATTGTGCCACATCCCTAGATCCAAAAATTATCATCATTTTTGAATGAATGCTAGAGCCTTTAAAAGACTTCAAAGGGAGTTCCCCTAAAGAGGTTTTAAAATAATCAAAAAGGAGCATCACTGAAATAAATATAAAATCTCCCAAGAGGACTATTCCAGGACAATTCTCAGGTTTAAGTTACAGAACATTTGAGTATAAAACAACCAGTGCTCATAGAGTTAATGAACTACTTATGAGTTCTCTGGTTACATGGCTATAGTCAAACTGGCTGCTTTACAGCCAGACTTCTCAGCTCCTTTAATGTGCTGATGGGCTCTGGGCCTCACCACTCTGTGTCTATGACAGTGATTGATATAATCAGCAGTTCTCAATCTCTTTTGGCCTCCAAACCCTTTTATCAAATAATATCTTCTCAGGACTAGTTCTTTCAGAAAATGTTCCTTAAAATTTATGCTTTAGAATTCAACAAGCCAAGTAAGATTTTATCTTCTGTCTTGTAAACATATAGTGAAGCTCTAAAGTTCAGTAAAATCCCTCAAGGTTAGACATGAGCTAGCCACTTTGGCCTTGCTTACAGATTTGCAAATCTTGCCTTATGTTTTTGTGGAAATGACAGGTTGTTTTTTTTTCACGTGTGTTTCTACTTTCTACACTCTTAGAAATCCTGTATAAAACCCCAGTAATGTAAAAAACACCAATAGGCTCATTATATACAACCCCATCTCCCAAATCTCCATCCCAGAACTATATGAAGTGAGAAATGAGTAGGACACTTAGCCATTTTCATAGACTTTCTTTTTTAAAAAATATAAATTTAGTTGTTGATGGAACTTTATTTTTATTTATTTATATGTGGTGCTGAGAATTAAACTCAGTACCCTCACACATGCCAGGCAAGTGTGCTACCACTGAGCTACAACCCCAATCCCCTAAACTTTCTTTTAAAAAAATCAGACTTTTGCTATATGCTATTCTGTGGTAATTCAATTTATCATGTCAACTCTGTTAGTTCTCTAAGAAGTACATAAGGCACAAATCCTGTGGATTGACTTTAAACTTTTACTGCTATGTCCAACTTGGCATAAAGATCATGCCATATAGTTATTGTTAACAATGATGATGCCAGTTACAAAATTTCTTCTATGTATGGCAAATTAAAAGCTAAAGACACATTCCTATGACTTGAATTCAATTTTGTCATAGACTTTCTTTAAAATAAAAGAATATATGTAGCAAAAACTAGGAGTTGAGGAAGTCTGAGCTCAAGTCCCAGGGACTGCACCACCGGCACCTGACCTCACCTCAGGGCTCCCACACAACCTCTGGCTCCCAATTTTTTCTTGTAAATCAGGATGATCATGCTATGATGCAGCTTTTATAATGTTTTGAGACAATTGAAATAAAATATGTGGAAGAACTTTTGAACTATAAGGTGCTATAAAATATCCAGAATTATAAGTTTCTATTACTGTTTATATTTCTCATTTGGCACTGACTCAATTTTAGTTTAAAGCTTCCGTGCCCTTCTTGTATTTTTCTCACAGAGTTAATCATCTATTGACAGGCATGTCCATGAACTTGGAGAAACTTACACTTAAAATATGTTAATATGTTTTTTCTTAATGATATGACACCTAGATGATTCAGACCTACTATTGGGTGAGGGGTTAGCAGAAGAAAACATTAATTTACATTTGCTAGGGCTTTGATCAAAGTCCCACTTCCATCCATGTTACAAAGGAAGTCCTTATAAAATTTCATCTTCACTTTGCCATCTTTGATCACGAGGACCCCAATTCCTTTGAATGTAAATTCCACATTTTTTTTGATAGAAATGGATCGTGATAAAAAAAGTATTGTCTCCTTAACACATCCTTCCACTGTGTCCCTGTTAAATGGACTCTCCAGGGATATCATGATAAAATTAAGTGGAACAACTGGGATATCACCTAGAGGAGAAAAAGACAGTTAGGGTGGGAGAAAGGGAGTAGAGATTACAAACATACCATAGATACTCACAAATAATTATCTGATTCTCTCTTAGTACTCAATAAGAGAATTGTCCATGTAAAATATTTATTTGTACCCAACGTGATATTATTATTGCAGACAACTAACACAACAGGTTAACATATATTAATCAGTACAATTTTCCCAAAAAGTATACTGTTTTATCTTCAAAAGAAGAATAATTAGCTTTCTAAATATCACTCTAGACAAGCTTTTGGTTTCTTTCTAGAAGACAGCAATAATTGCTCAGCTTCATCAGAGTTTTCTCAAGTTTTCAGCCCCCTTATCTCCCAGGCCATGCTGCAGTAATATTTGCATATCTCCTTCAATTATCATACCATTTTTAAATGATTATAATATCTACAAAGTCTGTTTTGAAAAGATAGATTCAATAAAAGTTATCACACAAATGAAACTGGGTCATATATATATATATATATATATATATATAAAACAGAGATAATCTCCAACTGGGTGACTTGAAGAAAGCTTTTCTTCCCTAATGATCCCATAATTGGCATTGCAAAAGAATAAGTTTATATCTAGTTTGAAAGGAAGCACAGGATCTATTTGACCTGAAGAGATGCAAGTCCCACAGTTAAGAAAAGGGGTAAAACCAAAAAAGCATCAAGATGATAAAGCCAAAGAGAGATAATAACAAGGCCCATTGATGGAGGAACAGGACAGAAATAAGATAATAATATTCTAAATGGTCATTCTGTAAAAGCATGAATTAGATTTTCAAATGTCTAGTATTGCTGAGTGACAAGGGTTAAAGCTCTACAAGACATAAGCTTCACTATACTGGTGACTATATTGTGTCTCCCTCACAATTTAATAATTCTACTCTACCTCCCTCCATTTATTTCTGTTTTAAATATAAATTTCTTAAGAGAAAGCCAGATTTCCTGCCTCTGGATTCTCCCTCCACTCCCCTCACCTCTCTGCAATCTATCTTCCAATCTATCTCAGTAAAGACACTATCTCTCATGAGAGACAAGCCAAGGGATACTTGCAAATCTCATCTCTCCAGTCCTCTCTGTAACTCCTGATGCCTGCACTCTATTTTTTCTCATACCTATGACATCACGCTTGCTTCTCTGGTTTCCTTCTCCTTGGTCTCCTTTGCTAGCTTCTCTCCTCTTCTACTCCTTATTATACTTAGGGTTTGGGGTTTGGTTTATTAATTTATTTTACAGTATTTTGTTCGTATCTGTGTCATCTTATTTTATATCCTTTCTCCTAGGTAAACTTATTCAAATCTTGATCTCTGGTCTTCACCTATCTCCTAAGCTCTGGAATTATCTCTACCTAAATATCCCTAACAAGAATCAAAACTTAGCATGTCCCAAAGCAAATGCATTGTTTTATCCACCATCACCACCACCACCTGCCTTTCATCTTCATTTTCTATGGTGATTAACAGCATTAGCATCCATCTGTTCTCCAACCAAGAAATCAGTCGTCCTAAATACCACTCCACCTCTTGCTATCCATTTCTCTCAATCAGCCCTGTCTGTTCTACATCTGAAATGTCTCAGGAATAGAACCCCTCATTTCCCTCCTGATGTCACTCCCTCCATTCAAGCTTTTACCTTATTTCACCATAATCAAAAGAGCTACCTTCCCAAACTAAAAACTGGAACAAAACTGAAAATTCTCTGCTCAAAAACTTTCAATGGCTCTCAGTGCCTACAGGATAGATTCTTAAGTCCTTATAATAACACAACTAACCCCCCCTATATGCCATTTTTATCTTACTTCTCTCCTTCTGCTCCTACTCAGATATGCCCATTACTTCTTTAATGGGCTTTACTCTTTCCCATATTCTTGACTTGTTCACACCAGTCCTGGAACTGGAATATCTTCCCATAGCTTCTCTGCCAGCAAAAGCCTACTATCTTTTTTTTTTTTTTTTTTTTTTAGTACTGGGGATTGAATACAGGGGCACTTTGCCACTGAATTACATCCCCAGACATTTTTGGTATTTATTTTGGGACAGGGTCTTGATAAGTTCCCAAGGCTTTACTTGAACTTGTGGTCCTCTTGCCTCAGCGTCATGAGTCACTGGGATTACAAGTATGGATCACCACACCCCACCATCTTTTAAGCCTCCTCACATGTCATCTTAAACCATGCTTCCCCAAGCAAAGCTGGGCATGATCTCTTCTGGGCTCCTATAGTGTCCAATCCCTTTCTGATCAGTGCTGCTCCCTGATCCTGGTGCTGGGGATTGAACTCAGCATTCTACTACTGAGCTACATCCCTAGTCCAGTGCTGCTTTTATAGCATTTAATCATGCTGCATCATTTGCTAGTATATACTTATTAGCTATGATAAGACCTTGAGTGCTTCAAAGCAAAAACTACATCTTACTAATCATTAAAAACAAGTAGATGTTTGATTAGTTATCTGATTGATGATAAGGAATCCTAACACCAAAGCTAAACTGTAGACAGGAATGTTCCTTTGAATGACTTCAGTTCATTACATTTCATTAATTCCAAAATTCTTCACCCTCTAAAAAAATTAATTCTAAAAAAGTTAATTTTTTCACTATATTAAAATATCAAAGATGGAAAATAAGTTCTAAATCTAAGGCACCATTGTTTTTGCAAAAAAAAAAAAAAAGAAGAAGAAGAAGAAAAGGAAAAAATGACTTTATCTTCAATTCCTTTGGTAGGTTTTTGATGAAATATATTTCTTCTGTTATAAATTTTAGGCAAAAATGGCTTTAAAGTTTATCAAACCCACTATAGTGAATATATTCTAAGTACAGTGTGTCGGTATTTTGTTTTTTCATCAGGAAAGCCATATATTGAAAATTATAATTTTCAGAAAGTTATAGTTTTTCACCTCTGCCACGGGGGATAGAACACATCTCCGTTTATCCATCTCTGAGTCTGATGCAGGAGGAGATAATAAGTGAGGTCAAAAGGAACACAGCTAGGAATCAAGAAGTAAGCCCCAAAGTTTGCTAACCAATCATGGCATGACACCCACATGCTACAGCTAGATACTGTCCTGTGGCAGGGATTATGTCTTTTTTGTTTACCATTATAGCTCAAGCACCTGCAACAAGGCTTGATCCATAGTTGGCGCTCAGTAAATGTTTGCAGAAGGAAGACTGTTTTTTTGGTTTGGTTGGTTAGTTTTGTTTTATTTTTGTTGTTTGCAGTCCTAGGGATTGAACCCAGGACTTCACACATGCCAGGAAAGTGCTCTCCCACTGAGTTACAGTCCTAGCCCCCAGAAGGTTGGATTTCAGGATATAAAAAAGGTATAGAAGGTATGCATAAAATATGGAATTATTCAACTTCTAAATTTGTATAACAATAATTTAAGTTATATATGATAGAAGCACATTTATTTAACTTTTTCACAGCTAATACTGACTCTAATTCTGCCAACTGGAGACCCTAATTAAATTTCTCTTTATTATAACCACTCTACATTTCTTTGGATCTGAAATACAAATAAGAGTCTATACAACTCTGTGGCATGGTTTTCAGGTAAATTTGCCTTCATATCCCATCACCTATTCTCATACCTGCCCCTTAAGTTACTGGGGTTTAAAATGACCTGCAGAAAGACACTATCATATTCCCATCCCAGTCACTACCAAAGGTACCATGTGAAATGTGAGTCCCTCAAACTAGAAACCAATGAAGCAGCACTGGCCAAGCTTTGCTCTTTCATTTTTATCCCAGGCCAATAACATTCTGGGAAAGTCTTAAATATTAATATGATTTTACCAGGAGAATAAACTTTGTTTTGACTGAGCCCATGAGTCTGCAATAACTTCTCTGTCATGATAAACACAGGCCTCTGAATTAGAATAAACTTGTTTCCCATTTCAAGCTTTTGTCTCGTGAAAGTGAAAGTTCCAAATCCTGAAATATGAACCCCCTAAAAGAAAGAAAGAAGAGGGAAAAAAGCAACAAACAATTAATTGAAGGAGTAAAGAAAAATAGTCCTACTGTATCCAAACTCATGAAGAGAATTTAAGCTTAGGCCTTAAAAATCCAATAATCTCTACAACCCTTATAGCAGCTGTAGCATTTTAAGATTCTAAATTTCCAAATAAATTTAGTCTAAAGTGTAAATATATTGATCCATAATGTTTTTCAGACATCAGATGTCTCATCTCCATATCATGAAAAGACTGTGAGGATTATGAAAAATTGCATAAAGCCATAACTTTTTGAAATCTATATCTAAAATTACTCTTGTCCTAAATTGGTATGACTTTTAAATTTTAATCACTTGCCATTTAAGGGGGCATGAGAATATCTGCTTCTCATTCTTTCAGATTTGATGTCTCCCACTTAAAAGCAGACAACCAAGCATTCAAGGCATATGCTACAATGTAGTGTGGTCTTGGCTGACAGATAGTAGCAAATGTTTTTGGCCCTCAAACTAGGTTTTCTATCTCTAGGGAGATAATATACATCTAGGATTACAAACTCTACTGCCTGCGGGAGTCATAAAAGAATGCAAAGGAGTCTAACTAGCCAGCCAGGGGACTGGAGGTGTGGAGTGTAGGCCTTATCTGAAGGGGAGAGTCCATCATGGGCTCCAGCCAAGTGTCATCTGCAGAAATGGAAGACTGCTGCTGTTAAATCTACTGATTTTCAAGAAAAGGGAGGGGAGAATTCAACAATTTATATAAACTCTCCAAATTTTAAATGATGATAAGTAATTCAAATTCTAAACCAAATAATAATAATAATAATAAATTTGAAGAGTAATTCATCCATTGGCTCTAATAAAGTTCCACAGCTTCCTCCCAAAACTTTTGTCAGTTCCATGGCTTCCAAACCCAACCTGACAGGAGGAAGTAGTCTAGCCCTGGGCAAAGTTTCTTATTTTGGGCAAGTTTTGTTTCTGAATGTCTTCATGTATTTCAATTAAAATCCTTCCCTGTAAGGAAGCAAGATAAGAAACATTACATCCTTCCACAGCTGTGTGGGAACTATCAGGTCACAAACAGCACAGGTCTAGTTTTACACAAACCCAGTCTGATTGGCATTATACGTTGTATCACTAGAACAGCAGAACTTAAAAAATCATTACCTAGGAAAAAAATCCACATTTGTTAAACCTACTCTCCACAAGCCCTAAGTGTGAACATCACAAAATCACAGCAATGACAGTTAAACTGGGTGGCTCTGAAGCCTACTTTTATACCACTCCCGGCAAATTATGCAAGACTACGTAAGGAAGAGCCTTCAAATCCCGACATTAAAAGTATAATTCCTACCTTGTGCAAGGCTAGCTGCCGCTCCACAAACTCTGAAACATTCCCCCAAATAGTAGAGACTTCTGAAATTCAAAAGAAACCAAAATACTTTGTGAGCACCATGTGATAGGATCTTAGTGCTAACAAATAAAGCATAAATATGAAATGCAGAATCAAATGACAGTAATTCCTAATTAATCTAGAATTAACAGAAAATAAAGTCAGTCTCCAAAGTTAGTTTGCCTAATAACTCATGCTCACCCTTTAGGTGTGATTTTAATAACAAAACAATAATAATACTATAGATTTTTTTAAAGAAAATTTTTCTGGCATAAAGGAAACTTAGTCACACATTTCCTTTTATCCTAAAAATGAAGTTAACCAACCATAATCTAGTTTTTTCTCAATGACTCATTCAAAAAAATGCTCATTATATGTCCACTCTGCTATCTAATTAATATAAAAAGTTATTCTCATATCATTCTATAGCTTTTTTTTTTTTTTTGAGAATTAGGCCAAGGGCCACTTAGTCAAGAATGGCTGTCATCTGTGTATTAACTGTGCCTACACTTCTACTTTTGTTAGATTCTCCAATCTAGTGTACATCTCATTTTTTACAGTGAAACTGCCAGCTCTCACTTTTCTCTACTGCTAGTGCTCTGCAGACCCCCTGCCACGTTCTAATTCACTGCTTTTAGTCTGCTGTATTCTGAAAATAACAATATACTAATATTATGTCTAGAATAATACTTTTTAAAAAACAGACCTTGAAGAAGGCCCAAGGGTTTTGCTTTAAGTTAATGGGTAGATTTTGCACTATCTACTATGATCAGAAAGACACCTTCTATGTTTATTTTCTTGTCTCATGTTGTGGTTTAAAAAAACTGTGGTAGAAAATAGGTAGTTACCAATAACTATAATGTTAATGAGCAATATAAATATATGCTCTGGATGTGTTTAAAAATTTGGAAAATTATGTCTATGTTGACATCTCCATTTCCAAATATAGACTTGTGCTTATTAAAGACACTTTCCAATGATGAACTTTACGTGAATCTAGAGTATTACGTTTTAATCCTCAAAGTAGAAGATCAAGAAAGGTGACATTCACCAGACTGCCACTTTGAGACATGCATGAAGTTGGTGACAAAAGCCAATTCTTTCCTCACTTTGACAACTGCTTGATTTATTGGTATCATTTTTTTCCTTACTGGTTTAAACCACTAATTAAAGCAGGGAAATTGCAACCTTTTAATCCTAGCAAATAAAGGTAATAAATATTTTCATTATTATGCTAGGGAAGGGGCAGGTTAACTGGATGAGAAGTAGCAGTTACTCTCATGGGAATAAGTTTGATGTTGGAAATGTAATCACCCGCCAATGAAACCAGGGCTGCATGCCACAGCGAGCACAAGGGCAAAGATCCTGCCCTTCCTCTAAATCTTGGATGTGTAGTTTCTATAACTAGGTGTTTCCCACACTCTGTTCACCCTACTGCTTTCCCCACTCCTGCCTGCCCCTGTAGCCAAAAGAATTCTCCTGCTGGCTGCTAAGAACTAAGAAGGTCTTTCAACCAGGCCAAACTGTATACTGGGTTATAATTTTTATTCTAACCAAAAATGTCATTAATTCACTAATAAAAATCTCAGTATCCAGATTTACTCAGAGAATTTTCAAAGTTATTAAGTCAAAACTTAAAGTTTATGACTAAAAGTCTTTCACCTAGACATGAAGCTCAGATTTCAGGAAGCTAACAACAGAAGAAATGACTTATTAAGGCCAGGAGAAACTGTATAGTTTGCAACCAAACCCTAATGAAAAGAATTACTAAGCTTTTCATTTGTATGATTTGTTTAAGTTCCCCCTTAATGTTTTACTCCATGAAATATAAAAGGCAAAGTTGTACAAAAGCAGACTTAATTGTTTTAACTGAAATTTGTTATTTTTTCACTGAACAAAAAAGGAAAACGTGCATCCACACTCTCCTTAGGAAGTTTTTGAACCCTATAATTCAATTGTGATAGATTTGTAAATTATATAGATGGTGATTTATTCTTACACTCCAAATTTTCAGAGAGGACATTACTAAGTCTCAAAATGAAAAGAATCTCAACCCAGTCTAAAAAGCAAATTAAATAAGATACTACTCTTTTATATTTTAAGGAAAGCTGGATTTCTTATTTGTTTTAATCATGAAATACCAAAATTCACTGTTATAGAGAACTATTTCTTACATATACCTTTCTGCATTCAATTCAACTTTCATTTCACTTCAAATTCTAAATAGTTTATAGACTCAAACCATATTTTCAATCACAATGACAAGTATCTTATCATTATAAAGTGGACTAAGCATATATTATGTAAATTGAAAAATAACATATGCCAGAATAGATATTAATATCAAAAATTTTTAAATATCAAAAATTAAAATACAATCATCTTCTAAAATTAAAATATTCATGTAAAAACAGAACAAAATATTCAATAATATTAAATACTACGTCACAGAGCATAGTACAAAGGAAAGAGCCATATGCTCCATGTTAGGCCTAAGCCTTCCTGCCTCTGTGGAATTAATGGTTTCACTCAGTTTACATTTGTAAAATCATGACAGGACCTTGTAAGCACTATAATTACATAATATTGAACTTTGGTGAAACACAAAAGTAGTTGGAATACACAGTGAAGAACAAATGCAATGATGAAGTTCATTCATATTTTGCTGAGGTTTAGAGTTTATCTTCCTCTCTTTACAATGCACCATTTGTGGAATATTAACACAGTTATTTTGATTTCAGCTCTGTCATACATCCAATAAAGCCCTTGCTAAAATCACCACTGGTCAATAAATTCAATGAGCATGTTGATTGTTCATCTCTTCTGATTCCCTTCATCAGGTCTGACACTATTGATCACTCCCCTCCTTTAAGCAAACCTCCTTTTGACTGTCATGACATACTGTCTCCCGGGTTTCCTCTTACCTCTCTGGCTATTTCTTCTCAGTCTACTTTTTAGACTTATCCTCCTCAAGGATGATCCATTAAATGATGAGGTTTTTCAAACTAGGACCCTAGGCTGCTTTAGACATTCTGCTTAAGCTTTCACATCCATGCCCAGTATGATTCCCAAATGTTTATTTATAAGTCCAGATTCCTCAAACCCCTATCTCTAAGGTTATGAACTTGTGTATTTGATCCAACTACATACTTGGGCAGCCCACAAAGTCCCTTCAACTTGTCCAAAATAAGGATCCTTGTCTACAAGAAACCCACTTTAAAGACATAGATTAAAAGTAAATGTATAGTATTATGTCAAAATATACTCTACTGTCATGTATATCTAAAAAGAAAGAATAAAAGTAAATAGCACTAAGTCAAAAAAGAAGTAAATGAATAGATAAAAATAGATCATGCTAACACTAATCAAGAGAAAATAAGTAACTATTAATTTCAGATGGAGAAGACTTCAAATCTAAGAAAGCTATAAGGGATAAAGAAGAGCATTATATAATAACAAGGTCAATCATTCAAGAACATATAATAATCCTTAATATGCATTTACCTAAAAACAGAACATCAAATTATATAAGGCAAAACCTAAAAAAACTGTAAAGAGCAAAAGATTAATCCACTTTTGTGCTAGGAGATTTTGAATCTCTTCTATCAGAAATGGACAGAACCAGCTGGGTGAGGTAGCACACACCTATAATCCCAGTTACTTGGAAGGCTAGAACAGGAAGATGGCAAATTTAGCAAGGCTAGCCTCAGCAAATTAGCAAGATCCTCAGAAATTGAGTGAGGCCATAAACAACAGTGAGACCTTGTTTCAAAATATAAAACAATGGCTGGGTTTGTGGCTTGGTGGTGAAGCACTTGCCTAGCATGTTCGAGGCCCTGGGTTCTATTCTCAGCACCACAAATAAATAAATAAAATAAAGGTCTATTGACAACTGAATCTTTTTTAGATTTTAATTAGGTATATATGACAGCAGAATGCATTTTGGTTCATTGTACAAAATTGCAGCACAACTTTATATTTCTATGGCTGTACACAATGTAGTATCGCACTATATGTGCAGTCATACATGAATCTAGAGTAATGATGACCATCTCATTGCAGCATCTTTCCTATCCCCATGTCCCTTTCCCACCCCTCCCTCCCCTTTGCCCAAAGTTCCTCTATTTTTCCCTTGTCCCCCACCATTATGGATCAGCATCCACTTATCAAAGAGTACATTCCGCCTTTGGCTTTTGGGGATTAGCATACTTCACTTTAGCATGATATTCTCCAACTCCATCCATTTACCTGCAAATGCTATGATTTTATTGTATTTTAATTCTGGGTAATATTCCATTGTGTATATATGCTACACTTTCTTTATCCATTCATCTATTGAAGGGCATCTAGATTGCTTCCACAGCTTAGCTATTGTGAATTGAGCTGCTATAAACATTGGTATAGCTGTGTCCCTGTAGTATGCTGTAGTATCCTTTGGGTATAGACCAAGGAGTGGGTTAGCTGGTCAAATGGTGGTTCCATTTCAAGTTTTCTAAGGAATCTCCATGCTGCTTTCCAGATTTTTTTTAATTTAATTTTTTAAATAAACAAATAATAAAATAAAAACAAAAAGGGCTGGAGATGTAATTCAGTAGTAAAGTGCTACTGGATTAAATCCCCAGTACAACAACAACAACAACAAAATGAGCTACCACCACACACACCGAATAGAATAACCTAAATCTAGAATGCTGTGATAGTAAATGCTGGTACTGATGTGGAACAACAGAAATTTTAACTGATTGCTGCTGGAGTGCAACATGGTACAAACCCTTTGGAAGTCAGCCTGGCAATTTTTTTATTCTCTTACCAAACATTCTAGCAATCATCCTTCTTGGTATTTAGCTAAATGAACTGAAAACGAATATCCACACAAAATCCTACACACAGATGTTTATGGTTGCCAAAACTTGGAAGCAACCAAGATGCCTTACAACTGGCAAATGGATAAAACTGTACTGCATTTGGGTGACCAAATATTATTCAATACTAAAAAGAAACGAGCTAGTAAGCCATGAAAAGACATGAAGGGAATTTAAATGTATATTGCTAAATGAAAGAAGCCAGTTTTAAAAGGCTACATACTATGTGATTCAAACTATATAACTTTTTGAAAAAAAGGACAAACTATGGAGACAATAGAAAGATCAGTGGGCGCCAGGAATTGGAGGCTGGGGTAGGGATGAATAGGCAGAACACAGAGGACTTTGAGGTCAGTGGAAAGCCTCTATATGACACTCTAATGATGGATACAAGTCATCTTACATTTGTCCAGACCCATAGAATGTATAAGACTGAACCTGACTATGATGTATCAATGTAGGCTCATCAGTTTAAACAATTGCACCACTTTGGGAGATGATGATAACCCAGGAAACTATACATGTACAGGGATAGAGGGATGGGAGAAATCTCTGTACCTTCCTCTAAATTTTGAAAATTTTGCTTCAAAGTTAAAGCTGTTTTTAAAAACAGACTAAAAAATAAAAGATTTAGAGCTGGAGGAGTAGACCAGTGGTACAGTGGTACAATACTTGTAAGGCTCTGAGTTCAATCTCCAGAACTGAGGTGGGCTGGGGGGACTTCTTATTGTACCATTTTTCCTCTTCATAGCACTTTCCTCAAATGTAAATACACATTTATTTGTATGATTATTTGATTAGTGTGTACCTTCCTCACTAGATTGTAAATTTCAAGATTTTTAGTCAACATCAGTTCTCTAGTGCTCAGTACATAAATAGGATTTCAAAAAAGTATACACACATATATATAATTTATAAATATGGCAAATATTTTAAATCCAAATACTATCTTTAATACTTCTCTTAGAATTATTTTGATGGGAAAAATTAGGAGTAATTCAGGAGAAGGAAAAAGAAGAATAATTCATGACCATTTATTTGGTCCCCTAAAATCATTTGGTTAAAATCTAGACAATATGTCTAAGTTACACTGGCTTGATAATAATAATAGCTTCCACTTCTGGAACATCTTTCTTCCAAAGGGCTCCTATGGCTTACAGACAGATCTCAAAGTCTACTTTGAGGCAACTAAGAAACTACAGTAAAAACAGATTGTGTTGCCACTGACCAAGTTTGGAGAGTCTTCTATGAAAAGCTGCCCAGATCCCCTTTCAAACAGTTATCAAATATTTTTTATGATCATTTCATTTTCATAACAAAATTGCAAGATGTCAAGGACAGCAAAAGCAATGGTGCCTTTGCATGAACTCTGAAAAGGAGCCATCTAAAAGTTCCTGTGCAACAATTTTTCTCTAGGTATCCACAAGGGTTTCCATCTGTCCCAGTAGATGAAATGGGATGGTTGTTTTTAGCTAGCATTTTATTTGTGGTAGTTCACTAGCAAAATACTGTGTGTGTGTGTGTGTGTGTGTGTGTGTGTGTGTGTGTGTGTAAAATACATATAAATATGTATTATTTCGTTTAATCAAAACCCTCATCTGCCTCCATTCCCTGCTTACGACAGCCAATTTAAAAATAAACAAATGGTTAATGTGATACCTAGCTAGTTAACAAAGTAACCTCGCCACTCCAAGTCAGGCTGGAGCCAGGGAATAGAAAAATAAGTATTCCACCTCACCACGACCCCACGCCCCAAAACAGGTGAAGGTCCAGGGTGTCCAGAGTCCCCACCCCAAGCCTCTTACCCTCCTGGCTCAGCAAGGGCAGCGTGGGCAGCACCTGCCTGCTCAGGTCCTGAAGATCAGGAATGATAGTGTCCAACATCCTCAGTTCCCAATCAACTCGATACTGGGTCCCTGATTGGTCTCTTTTCTTCCTTCGTGATATGGAGTTTGTACCAAAATGATTTTCCCACCCCTTCAGCCCTTTCTCCCCGGAGCTTAGGATATGCTTTAAAAATAAAAATTTCCAAAATCTTGAACTTCGCTGACTCTTTTCCTTTGTGTCAACTTAAACGTTGCTTCTCGCTGTCTCTGCCCCTGATCTGGCCCTCAGGCTGCTCCCACCACAAAAAGCAGAAAGGCAGCCCGGCGCTGAGCCAAGGGTATGGGAATCCGCGCCCACCCGAACCGTGACGAACACCGTGAGAGGGTGGGCGGGAGCCTGGAGCAGGAGAGGCCGGGCTGAGCCGAGGGAAGAGCGCGTCGCTAGGACACGACAAAGGCTCGCCCCCGCCGGACTCGGCCCCGCCCCCTAATGTGAGCCGGCCTCTAGGTTGCCCGGTAATTCCGGAGCTCGAGGAAGCGAGAACGGAAAGAAACTTAATTTTTAACTTTGTTTTTTCCCTCCTTTTCTTACCCCGGCAGCGAAGAGCCTTCATGGTTAAGGTGGTCACTTTCTTAACCAACGTGGACAAATCTGGGAAAGCCACTGGTCAAGAGCGATGTGCCATGAGAATTTGTTTCTTGGTTTTATTTTTTGCTGGGCTCCCCTCTTAGGAAATAGAAAGTTGGAGAACTGAGGAAAAAGAAGTTACCTTTTTCTTCTTCTTCTTCTTCTTCTTCTTCTTCTTCTTTTTTTTTTCCTTCTCTAGAACTCTTCCTAGAGAATTATGTTTATGCTCTTGGCTCTGCTGATATCACAGAGTGAACCTACCCAAATAAACCCCATCCAAGTGAAGAGATAGAGCACTATCAGTACCACAGAAGTGCAGCTCCATTTTCCCATCCAATCATTATCCCAACAAATACTATAGATTGGCTTTGCCAGCATTTGAAATTTGGAAATCACATAGCAGGGACTCTTTTGTGTCCGGCTCTGTCGCTTATGTTGTGAGACTCATCCATAGTTTGGGTTGTTTTTTGTTGTTGTTGTTGTTGTTGTTGTTGTTGTTTTGTTTTGTTGTAGGAGCAATTTGTTCATTTTCACTTTTCATATTATTTCTTTGTGTGAATAGACACAATTTACTTATTCCACTGTAAGAGGCACCGTAGTTGTTTCCATCTGGGGCTATTAAGAATATTGCAGCTGCAATAAAACTTTTGATGAATATATGTACTCATCTTGGATGTGTACACAACTAGTAGATTGGTGGGTCAAAGAAAATGCATGTGATCAATTTTAATAGATAATGCCAAGCAGATTTCCACATTAATTGTTATGAAGGCAGGAGGAAGAACTGCTGGAACACAGTGCAGACAGAGACCAGGAATGGGCAAGAAAGCCCCACAAAATAAAAATTGTTCCACATTCTCCACCATTTAAAAATTTTTCATCACACTTCCATATAAGGAAAAACAAACAAAAAAAGGTTGCTTTAGAGCCTAGGAAACAATCAGGTTTTCATGTAAATATTGTCAATCTCAATATTACTTAATTTTCTAGGAATTCAAAATCAAAGTTCTCCACTATTTAGGAAAATTGTATCATCACCTTCAATGAGGCTGGTGGTGGATCAATAGCTCACACACCCAAACCAGGCTGCATTTGTAGCTGTTGTACTCATAGGATTCTTCTGTAGATATAAGCTTGGGTGACATAATTATACCTCCCAGTATATGCATACTTGGACAAACACATGATATATAATCATCATCATTATATATATATGGATATTAATATATATCCTTTAATTTTTCTATTGTGCTAGAATTATGGTTTTATGTTCATCTTTAAACAATATGAATAAACTATATCGCTCATAAACCTCATTTCAGGATAATAAAAAGGCCTTAAAATTTTTTAAATATTTTTTAGTTGTAGATGGACACAATGCCTTTATTTATTTTTTCATGTTGTGCTGAGGATCAAACCCAGTGCCTCACACGTGCTAGATGAGCACTCTACCACTGAGTCACAAACCCAGCCTTAAGATGGTTTTTATAAAAAAAAAATAGTCCCTGGGTCTAATAGGACTGAGAACTTCTCTGATAGAAAATGCAGACTACAACTCAGCCACTTTCTCTAACTTGGTTAAGAAGATCAGAACTAAGTTTTTGAGTTTCACTCAAATTAGTTTCTTGATAATCTAATTTCCTCCCATTCTCCCTTTTAAAACCTAACTTTTGTCCTATAGTATGTTGATGATGTTTTGTCTTCACATGTTTTCAGAGTAGACTTTCTCAAATCCTTTAAGGAAATAAGCAGAAAATATTGTCCAAAGAATCAGCAGCAAAGCAGTGGACAAAATCTTTTCTGATTATTGTCTTGAGAGCAATTACTAAGCTAGATAGTTTGTTTTATTTTTTTATCTATCTGTTTATTTATTTTATACAGGGGATTGAACCAAGAGGTTCTTTACCACTGAGCAACATCCCCAGCCCTCTTTATTTTTTATTTTGAGACAGGGTCTCACTAAATTGCTTACAGCCTCGCTAAATTGCTGAGACTGGCCTTGAACTTGCAATCCTCCTGCCTCAACCTCCTGAGTCACTGGGATTACAGTCATGCACCACTATACACACAGCAAGCCACTTAATTTTGAGTGTCAATATAAGACTTATTGTTCTACATTAAGATAATAATGGAAATATAACACTATGTTAGTTTTCTTAAATTATATTGTGAATTAAATATGGTGATAGCATTTTTAGTCTCTAGAAATGTTGTCTTCAGTTTCAGAAGATAGCTATTAATGCTAATAATTGTAGATGGCAAAGGAGGCTCTAAAAATAGTAAAGATAAAGACTTTTCTTCCAAGGTCCTTTTTTTTTCCTTAATTGTCTCTTGATAATAGAGGTTATGGAGACATATATGATCATGTTTACTAGCAACTTCCAAGGATCTGTAAATCTTACATATCCTGAAAATACATACCTTTCAGTGGTAAGAAAGCTCAAATGAACTGTGCAATTCCATGGAGGTGAATATTCTCTTTGAATATACTTGCACAATTCATACAAATATATATGTATATGCAATATTGTTTGGCATGTAAAATCTTAGAATTAATCTGTCACAGAGATGTTAGTTAGCTTTCTGTCATTGTGACAAACTACCTGAGATACACAACTTATAAGAAGGAAAGATTTTCTTTTTGTCTCATGGTAGCTACCTGAGGTATCCATCAATGGATGAATGGACAAAGAAAATGTGGTGTATATACACAATGGAACAAAATTCAACCTTAAAAAACAATGAAATCCTATAATTTACAACAACATGGATGGAACTGGAGAACAAGGAAATAAGACAGGTACAGAAAGAGAAAACCACTTGTCCTCATTTATATTTGGAAGCTTAAAAAAGTTGATTTCATTGAAGTAGAGAATAGAATAGTGGTTATAGAGGAAAGAAGGAGAGAGCAAAGGAGGCTAGAAGGAGGTTGGATAATGACTACGAAAATATAGTTCAATAGGAAGAATAAGTTTCAGTGGCCTAGAGCATAAAAGAATGACTAGTTAACATTTTATCATATACCATATAAAGAACTGGAAGACAGGAGTTCAGAGTTTCCCAATACAAAGAAATGATAAATGTTTGAAGAAACGGAAATGCTAATTACCCTGAATTAATCATTACACATTATATACTTGTGTTGAATTATCAAATTCTAATCCATAAATAAGTCAATTAAAGATTAAAAGTTTGCTCAAACCAGGCATGGTGGCACATGCCTATACTCCCAGCAGCTTAGGAGGCTAGGACAGGAGGATTCCAAGTTGAAAGGCAGCCTCAGCAATTTAGTAAGGCCTTGAGGGACTCAGCGAAACCCTGCCTCTAAATAAATACCAAAAAAAAGGGTTGAGGATGTGGCTCAGTTGTTAAGCATCCTTGGGTTCAATCCCAGTACCAAAAAAAAAAAAAAAAGTCTGCTCAAAAGAAAGCTATACATTTACCTGGTGATAATGAAAAAGTTTCAAGATGTGCTAAGTGAAAACCAGTTGCAGAATAGTATTTATATATGTATTTGATTTACTTCAAATAAAGACTACATATAATATGTACACATAGTCAATATATACTTGTGAATACATGTAATATTTGAGGAAAGATACACACACACACACACACAAAATGTTAACCATGGTATTTTCAAGTAATGAGAAATTGTGGACAGAGGGAAAGGAGATCCAAGAACTTTGATTTTCACTTTTCTCCTTTATTTATTATTTATCAAGAACATGAATCACTTTAATAATATTTAAGATAATTTACTAAAGAGAGTAAGAGATAGAGGTATAGGCAGAGTGCAGGAATTTATGGCAGTACTGAAAGAAGCAAACAAGGCCAAAGTTTTCCAAAGTACTGTACTTGTACTTTTCTGAAAGCTTCAACTTTCCTTGCAAACCCACAATGAATGGGCAGTCACTTTTACCCAAGCCCCAAGGTGCACACAATATTTAGTGGCTTATATTTAAAGAAAGTTGGAAAACGACTGAAAATAAAACATTTAACCCGGGTGCCATGGCTCATGCCTTCCCCAACTTAGGGAAGATAAGGTAGGAGGCCCACAATTTTGAAGTCAACCTTGGCAATTTAGCAAGACTTTGCCTTAAAATAAATAAAAAGGGATAGGGATGTAGCTCAGAGGAAAAAGCACACCTGGGTTCAACCCCTAGTACTGCAAATGAATTAATTAATTTAAAAAAATTTCAAATGATAACATTCATTACACAGCACCAAACTAAAATTTTGCAATAAACAATTTAACACATATCCATTGAGTTCCTAATCTGAACTATTTTGCTAGTTGCTAAAAGGAATATAGACATATACTTAATTCTTACACATGAAAAGTACACAGTTCACTTTTCACCACCTAACAAATATTTATAAGTTTCTAAAATCAGGGTTGGGTTCCAAAATCAAAATACATATTGAAAATTGGTGAAAAACAAAACTACTCTAAAAATTCTTCTCAGGAATATGCAATGTTGAATACCCATATATAACATCTCTCCATTCATAAATTCAATACAATCAGCCTTTCTTTCCAATATTGGAGAAGATCACTTTTTTCAGGTCAAACTCAGTGAAGCAGTTGAGTTGTATTTAGGAAAGCAATCTTGTTTGAAAAATTCAAATGGTAGATTTGCACTCAGCACTGTGAGATGCTTATACTTAAGAACTGAGGCAGATTGAAAATAAACCTGATGCATATCCTTAGTCCCTTCCTTATTCAAGGACGCATACAGAAATGGACTTGTGGTGGCTTTGTGCTGTCAAATAAGGTGGAAGGAAACTGCA